TTGTTCTCTACTTAAAAAAAAAAACACTTAAAATTTTAAAATGGAAAAATTTTCTATGTTATTTATTATTTTTTTTATTTAAAAATTCAATATATAACATGAATGCATAAATACCTAATTTTTTTCAGTGTTAAATTCTGTTTAAAGTAACAGATCATTAAAAATGTCTCTGGACCTTATTTTTAATTGGTTACCCTGTTATAAGATATTATTCATGAGAAGAAACGATTGATTAAATGAGCAAATAAGAAAACATCATAGAAACACATAGAGAAGCTGTGTATGAGCTTTAAACCAACGTGACTGTGGCTCAGTACAAAGAGGGGTTGTCTTACAGTGGGAAGGTTGCAGGTTTAATTCCAACTCCATCATGATATGCCTTTTCCTGATACAAGTTTCTCAATAAAAACGGTCTTCTTCCCAAATCCTACTTTATTATATGTCAGACTTTGTATAGGTCAGCTATATAATCTATCTATTATTTCTATACTGCATATATTGTTTTTTTCCTACTATTCCAAATTTCTATACGACTTCCTGCAAAAAGTAAACAAACAGAAATTGAATCTCTGCTGTTTTTGAAGCCTACTGAGGCTTCTCTCAAGCCCCTGAAGATTTTAAGTGCTGACAGTGTGTTCAGAGGTGCGCCAGCATGGCTCCATTGAGCTAAGATGTTGACAGAGTATTTTCTAAGAAGTCACCAGCCAAAGCCACTGCAGTGGTAATTGCTTGTGTTTCACAGCAGAGAAGTGAGTGACTCACTGGACTCTCCAGAGGGGGAAATGCACTGTGCCCCTGGTGGAGATCTGAAAATAATTAGCTAGATAAACCCAGCAGCACAGCAGCAGGCCGTATACACGTTCAAAACCATCCACGGCTTCGATATATTAGTCATTTCTCAATGAGTGCAAGTAAACCAGGGCATAGGAGCAAGTTGCCAATGGCTTACAGCAAGTTGCTCTTTGCATTGGACGAGATAATTATCCATACATTATGGCATACATCCATAAGAGTTTTCTTCTTTTTTAAAACTTAAACATGTGCACTGCAATATCCTACATATTATTAAATTCAAATTATTGGGGTTATTAGTGGCAAGAAGGAAAGGGCAATTATGGAGGGGGTGAATGAGACTCAATGAGGAAAAAAAGAGAAATCCCTGGTAATTACTCTGTAAATAGCAGATAGAACAGAGCCGAGACAAATAGATTAAAAGGGCCTTCTGTTTTCATTTTAATCCCTATTAATCAGTCGTCACAGATTGATTTGATTTGCTTTTGTAACCCCATTAAATAGAGCCGAGATGACAGCGAGACTCTCTGATGGTATCGGGCTGACGTCTGTGGGTGTGTCAGTGGGAGCAGGTGTTCAGTGTGGAGCCAGAGTGGGTCTGAGTGTCTCAGCATCTGTGGACTGGATGTCTTAGTGTCACTGCAGATTATCTGCCAACACTCACACAGATGTAGAATAACAGGATTATCCAGACTGCTTTTTGATCAGATAACATGGGAACACCAAACTCTTCCGTTAACATGAATATACAGAACAAAAAAACACTCGTTTCAAAGTATTGGTTTATATTTTCTGATGGCTGCTTTTTGATATGATTTTGCTATAACGGTGCGTTCACACAGAATATGGGAAATGAAAAAAAAAAAAACTCTTACATGTGCTTTTGCTCCACTGGCTTTTCACCAGAAATTCACCAGATGACCAACAGTAATTCAGACTCCAGTCCACAACATCCTGGAATCTGCCAACATATTCTCATTATCAGTTTGTATGAAATCGTACGAAAAGTTATGCACAGTATTTCGTACGTGTTTGACGTTTTTCCTCGAAAATACAGATCAGTGCGCATGCGCAGCCAGACAAATGAAAAAAGCAGATCCGCGGACTCACGTAAAACTGGGAAAAACAGTGCAATAATTACTTCATGATGTCTCTCACTAGGTTGCTTGCTGTTTTGTATCTTACGTTTAGGGTTAGGGTCAGGGTTAGGGTTAATTGTATGTTAAATTCTATGTTATTGAATGGTGCGTAAGATGCGCATGCGCAAGGATATCTTGTCTCGAGGCAAGACGTAACAATACGACGAAATACGATGAAAAAAACGTCAAAAACGTACGAAATTACTGTGCATAACTTTTCGTACAATTTCATACAAACTGATAATGAGAATAAACTGGATCTGCTGCTTGTTGATTTCACCTCAACATGGCAGATTGTTGGATTTTACAGAGCACACTGCTTTATTTATTTTGGAAAGCTGAACAAAACCAGCTTGGCTCCAACAGAGACGCTCCCAGTTTGGGGGAATCCAGGAGCTCCGGCTGGATCTCAGCCGCTTTCCGTGGAGCTTAAGGTAAGGAGACGCCAAGTTCTGGAGCTCAGAGAAGATCAGAGGAAAAATGGCGCTGTGCCCCCCCTCTGGTACTAAGGAACAGGAGATTGGAGGAGTCCTCAGGGCAGAGAGTACGGCAGAATGGGGGAGAGGAGGCGGTTGGCCTGGGCTAGCTCTAAAGGCTATCGGCTGAAGACCAAAGCAGGATAGCGGTGTCTCTGCTAAAGCTAATGGATGATGCACAGCTCCTGTAGGGCTACGTTAAAACGTCTTTATTAAAGGTGCCAACAAACCTGCTAAGAGCATTCATCCTGCTTCATCTTTTGTCAACATTCATTTCAATATCTTCCTTTTGGATTGAAAAAGTCTGCCTTGGCTTTGTTCCTTCACCTTAGATCACAGCCTCATCTAATCCCTGACTGGTTTTCATGACAGGAAAACAGACAAAAGTTCATTTTTCAACTGCTGCTGGTTTTTGCTTGGTTACCTCTGCAGCAACTGTTCCCTTTGCCTCAATATAATCTATACCTTTACCTCACAGCCTAATGAGCCGCCCTCCACATGTAAATCATGGTGAATAATACAGAGTTTCTTAACTTAGACATTAACTGAAACAGAAAGTTGCTGCTCTGTGCAGATTAGCCGCTAAAAAGGCCACTTTGTCTCAACTTTAAGCTGCAATCATGACGTTCTGTCTCACATCACCCCTCTTTGATCGGACAAAGTGGGCATTTGTTTACAGTGCAGGCACAGCAAGGTCAATGAAGGTGCTTCCTAAAGGAGGGTTATTATTACATAGATATTCTCTATCTGCTGGTTTTCACAGGATATGGAAGGGCTGCTGCTCAGACAGCAGAACTCATGACGATTACGCAGAGATGATTGTATCTAGCAAAATACCACGTTATGCATGATTTTGATGAAGTAATACATTTACAACATAATTAAAAGCTCAAACATGTTGATTTTGTATAAAAAAGCCTCAATACTCTACTGTAACACCAATACAAGTTTACACTCCATAGTTGTTCTACTTTTGTGACCACAAATATTTCCCCTAAGATAGTCTAAAGTGAGGGAGAGACAAATGGGGCATCTTTCAGCCAGTTTACCAGCAGTGTGCAGCAATAGGTGGAGGAGGGGTTCTCATTGCTTAACTCTGTGGCTCAGACAGGCAGAGACACCCCCATCACTCAGTAACCCCTCCTACTTCTTGTTAAAAAAATTTAGAAGTATAAGAAAATGATAAAACTGTTTTTGAAAGACCAGAAATGGGCCAATTTCTCAGCTCATCCTGAGAGTAAAAAATAAATCCCAGGGTGTTTAAATCAGAGGATTTTTACTGGAACAGAGGAGCTAATGTGAAATGTAAATGTACAGCAGATAAACCTGTTTGAAAAACTAGTCGCTCCCTAAACTTAAACCAGGAACTAAAAAGTGATCATTTTATTTTTCTTAAGCCGTTCTGATGGTGACTTGCTGGTATGTTTATGATCCAAACCAAGTTTGGTTCAGTTTAAGGTCATGAACACATGGCAGGATGTCCTCCTTCAGGATTTTTTTGGTAGACAGTTGAATTCATGGTTCTATTTAAACCAGCAGGTCTTCCAGGTCCTTAAGCAGACCATTATACTACCACCACCATACGTTACTGTTGGACTGAGGTTATTTCTTTGAAATTGTAACATTTTCTATAGACACAATGGGACTCACATCTTCAAAGGGTTTAAATTCTGTATAAAGCCCTTTTAAGGAGCTTTTTTATTAATCTACAACTTATTAATTAATAAAAATGGAATCAACAGATGAATGTATTAGCAAACTACTTATTAGATGCAGCCATACTCCTCAGAAGGGTTTGGTTTATTATATGCAGTCCTACAGCCTGTAGTCGGTTCATTTCTATGTGAAACAGACTGATTGCCTCTGGGGGGAACTTTGATTCTGGGTTTTTTAGCAGCAAATGTTCCTGACACTAAAACTACACACATAGTTGAAAGGTTAAACTCTGAAGAGTCATCAGATGTCAAGATTTAGTCCAAAAGCAACAGATTTCTGAGCGATTTCTAGAAGCAAACATTCCAATCAAAATGAAGGCTATTCACTGAATACTGACCAAGAAATAAAAAACGACATGTCTCTCTGTATCTCCACCTGAAAAAAGGGAGCAAAGCGAACTTGAATCTGATGTGATACAGAATTTATCACCTGCTGTGCAACAAAAAAACAAAAACCCAAAACATAAGCAGCAACATGAGGCAAAAGAGTGAAGAGGGGAATAACATCGCCATCTAGAGGCCAGACTGGCTCCCAGGCTGGGCTCTGAGCAGATGCTGCTGATGCTCTTTCTAACTCTCCACTCACAGCCTCTACAAACATGAGGAATTTATCAGCCAGGATGACAGAGAGAACGAAGAACCGAGACCCCAGCTCCAAAATGACAACAGACACACACAGAGCATCTAAAGGCTTTTTTTATCCGCTGCCTGGTGAGACTGAACTATAGCTCCCCATGCAACATCACTTCCAGCTCGCATGCAGGGGGGAGAAAACAAGAGGAGAGAGCGAGGAGGAACGCTTCCCCCCAGATGATCTCTGAGAGGACGGGGTGTCTGCCCCAGCTCAGGGCGGGGGGGGGAGCTTTGGGCGCTCTTACCTAAGATTGGAGCCAGGCGGAAGATGTCAGACAGACGTTTGTTCACCGGTTCGTACGGAGACTCCTCCAAGAAGTCGTTACCTGTAACCCCAGAGAAAAACACCAACTCAATAGGTTTAATATGTTTACTACCCGTCACCCCTCCTGGTTTTGTTTATCATTTTTCTGGGGAGGGGGGGGTTGTTGGCTTGGCCTGCATGTGACACGGGTTATTTGGGTCAGTCGATATCCAGGCTGGCATAAAGCCACACGCTTGATTAGGCAGGTTGGTCAGCTGACTGGAAGCAGGCGAGGAACTGGAAACAGTTAGGGGCTCTAAATAAACCCCCACTGGTGGGGTGGGGGGGTGGAGAGACACGTTCCATTAGCTGTAAGGGATACAGCTCAGGAGGTCAAGAAGCCACTCTCTGAATAGTGTCAGGTCTGACTGAGCAAGTTATTGTTTCTGTTCTGTTGAGTGTTTTTGTCATTTCTGTTTTCATCTTCCTTCCACTAAACGTAGAAAAAAAAGACATTTTCTAAGGTTTGGTAGTCAGGAGGATGAGGATGGAGGTCGCTCACTCATGGTTCCAAAATTCATCAACATTTAGGAGGAGGCTCAGAGCTGGGTTAAGGTATAAGTTAATTTACTGACTGTTTAGGGCCCCCTGCTGGCCCCGACAGCTCCTGAGTCTACACCAGCGGTTTATAAACACCTGCATATGTTGTTTTAAAAGTATAATATAAAGATGCATCGATCAGCTGATAACTTCTAATAAATAAATTCTGACTCCCTGATTCAAACTATAGAAATCTTGGGAGCCACATTATCCTAACTTGGGCTTAAATGCATTTATGCCTGAAGCGGTTGATGTGTTTATATAAGACATTTTTCTGTTAGTTATTTATTTACTTTTTAACACCTTGATCAAAAATCAGCGGATATAAATTGGCTGGTTTCAGATCTCTGAACAATGAAATGCTTATTTCCTTTTTCCTGCTTCATACGTCTGAGCTGGGGGCCCGTCAAGCTTCCACCATGTCTGTTACTAGACTTCTGGTTCTTTTCCATCCTGGGTTCTTGATTTTTAAAGTTTAGATAACAAACTTTGCTCACATCATTCCAACAATGTCTCATTAAATAGAATGGGTCTGTTATGAGAGGGTCTCTGGGTGTGGGTCAGGCCTGAGCCTGTGTGCAGGAGAAGGTTCTGTTTGTTTGTGGGGTTTTATTTTTTGTAAATGCCCCCATAGTGAAGGGGGGTCAGGGGTCTCCTATTAGATAAAACATCTGGTAAGATCTCACTAACAAATCTCCACCCCAGTGGATGGGGAGTGGGTGTGAGGGCTGGTCGGGTCAACATTTGAAGGAGTTGCAGATTTTATTTGGGTTTTTTTCTAAATCAGAGACAAAAATACAAATCTTTTATTTTATTCCAATCAGACTTAAATTTGCAGTCCTGCCCAAGTAAAGAGATTTAAAAAAAATCCCCAATGCTTCTGGTTTCAGTCTCACTTCAAGCTTATTAAGCTGTTTCAGGTTTTTAAACCTTAACAGCTCCAAACCAGTCAGATTGAGCTGCTGTAATGAAAAGTTCAAACCTTGTAGGGACTGATAGATCCCCCAGTAGATGCGCAGGCAGTTCTTCTCCTTCTTCATGCCTCTCTTGCACCGGCAGTTATACAGGGGACTCTGTTTGAGCGCCTCCATCGCGCTGCGGCACTCATCCCTGGCCTCCACGCCGGCCACCCGGCTGAAGTTGCTCTCCTTGCCGCCGGCCACGCACTGCCTCATCGTGCGGTACTTGGTGCTGCACGCCTGCTCCCGCAGACACTGCTCGCTGGCCCGCACGCAGTCCAGCCGAGAGGCGCGCAGGTTCTCCTCCGCGTAGGTCAGCACATCTGGAGGCGCAAAATACATTAAAATAAGCCAAAGCATCCAATTATTTTCCACTAAAAATAAAAACATGAGGTTTAATCATGATGCAGGAGAACATTAAGACTTTAAAAGCTGCTTTTTTAGGGATTCCAACATAAAAAAGAGCTTTAAGGCAGAAAAACCAGATCTATTTTTAAGTAAACATCTGGTTTAAATGATGCTGCGCCTTTCTGTTGTTTTTGGATCAGTGTGGAGTCCATGTGAGACTCCTGCTCTAAGAAAACATCTCCTACTGAAACTTACCGAAAAGAGGCAGAAAACAGAACAGTGAGAAGATCATGGTTTCCCTCTGAGTGGAACAATAACCCAGAGAAACGGTTCAACACTAGTTTATTTCCCAGAGAAGTCCGGCTGGAAATAAATCCATGGAAAAAGACGCGGCGCGCGCGACCCCAGCCCGCCTCGAGCGAACAACAATAAAAAGAAAAAATAACAATCAAACAAACAAAAAGAAAGAAAAAAAGTGTCCAGTCAAGATTCTCTTCAGCTTCTCTCACTTTCTTTTCGTTGCAACAGAAACGTCTTTCGCTTTATCTGGATTGTTCTTCCTTCAGTGCGGGATGGTCCGACCAGGCGCCGCGGGACACCAAGGACCCGCAGCTGCGGTGCGGTGCGGTGCTGTGCGGTGCTGTGCGGGTGTAGGCAGCGGGATGCTGCTGCTGCTGCTGCTGCTGAGTGTGAGCGCTCTCACCAACTGGAGTCCCGCCGCCGTCTACAGCGCACTGAGCAGCAGGAGAGCGCCAGCTTCTACCCCCACCCTCCTCACCTCACCCTGCGATCCAAACGCAGCTTCCTTCCCATCACGGCGGAACTCCTTCACTGTCATCAGCACTTTATCATCACTGAGGAAAAAACACATTTCTAATCATTTTACAGCAGAAATCAAAGGAATGAGGGAATTGGTTCTGTAATGGGTCTGCTGTGTGTGGGCTGCAGGAAGAGGGCAAAGAGCGCGACCTCCTGAGTCTGTTCATGACATGATGAGGAATATAGTGGCGACCAGCTCCTTTCTGCTCACTTTAAATGTCATTCCAGGGTACTTATAAAGCACTTTCAAAAACCAGAAATTGTTCCAGATTAACAAAATTGATGAAAGCTTAATGCAACCGTTTTTGGCATTTACTTAACCATATTTGCTTACTTATTATTATTTTTTTCAGTGTAAGGTAGGCTTAAAGAAGACAGATCAATCACAAAGAACTCAACAACTGACTCAAAAGCAAAGATAACTCATGCTAAGTTGAGTCCTTCAGGGGAAAAAGACAATGAATGATCCCTGAAAAGAGGAATTCTTTTTCTGTTGCATGATTGACTGCATGACATTAATCTCCCTAAACAGCACACCCTTTGAACTTTATAGAGTGGACTTTCTCTACCACCACTAGTAGGCAATATGTTTTTCTTACATTCCAGCATACATATTCATTTCATCTTTAAAAAGTTACAGCCATAAAATTCTATTCATTCAGTTATTTCTGTAGTGCCAGTTCACATCATGTCATCTCAGGTCACTTTACAGTTCATCAGATCATCCAGTCAGATTGATTCAACGTTTTCTATCTAAGGAAAACCAGTTGATTGCATAGACTCATTGACTCTTCAGCAATCCCTCACACTAAGCATGCTTGTAGCGACAGTGGAGAGGAAAAACTCCCTTTGAACTGAAAAAAACCTCGAGTAGAACAAGGCTCAGTGTGAGCGGCCATCTGCTGAGGCAAAATCAGACATAGCAAAAGAAGCAGAGATAAAAAAAAATGTAAACTGTCAACATATAGAGACATTAGGCAGGGCTCGATGTTATTAACCATTGCCCGATTGCCCGGGGTAAGTAGTTTTTATTTTTGGGAGAGTACAAATTTCATTGCATTTGCCAGCCGGGCAAGTGCAATGATCGCAAAAAAAAATTATCACTCAAAATTACTTTAAAATCAGCAACATTTGCTGAAAACGACCCACAAGCGTTGCCGGCGCCATTTTTGTTGTTTTATACACATTCTCGCGTGATTTTCCGCCAGATGGCGTGATTTTTGTCCACCTAGCGGTAATTTTGATGTAGTTACCAAAATGACAAACAAGTAGAAAGCGCTATCATATGGCAGCCTTCTGTACAGTGATGCAGGTCACACATTAAAAAATGTTCTTTAATTTTTTTTCTCTCAGACATTGGAGAGGTGCATTTAAATGTTATAGAGCTAAACATGTTAGATTGGTGACCTGTTATGTTATTATTATTGTCTTGTTGCTGCATTTATTTTGTCAGGGAAAACTAATCCTGAGTCAGTTAAAAGTCAGGGAATTCTAAATTTATGTAAGATTGTGGAAACCCTGTATAAAATAACTATGTATAAAGATTCTCTAGAAAAGTCACATTATATTAATATTATCATCTTGTATAAACATACCGTGACTCTAAAATAAAAGTTATTTATGTGTGACATTGACTTCTGTCTTGTGATTTATCTTAAATTTTTAACCTGTCAAGTTTTTTTTAGATTTTTAACATTACAATTTATATTTTTCCAAGCAAACAACAGTTTAAAGCAAAGTTTAGTTTGAAAAGAATGTGCAGGAAGGATTGAAAAGCATGTTAACACGGTAATGTAGGCTTGAGTTCATTATCTGAAGCATGCAGATACACACCAGGAACCTGGAAACTTAAAAAATACTGAATTACAAAAAACATTTAAAAAACAAACATGTTTCATTGATATATATACAAAAAATGAATATTAGGAACTATATTTATCAAACATTATACTGGGCAAGTAAAAATTGTTTCTGGGCAAATGAAATGTGAAAGTCACTTGCCCAGAGGGCAAGTGGTAAAAATCCTTAACGTCAACCCCTGTCAGGGGTTTTATCCATAAATATCACTACTGTCTGCAGATTGTGGAAAAACTCTTCAACAGCAGGAAGAGGCTTTGAAAAAGATATAAACAGCTGTGCTCTCTACTTTCTCAAGAGTAAATGCTTTAGATGTGACCGGTGGCTCATTTTTATGTGCGGATTGTATGTTCGTCAACATAATGAGCCCTTTAGAGGGTGGAACCAAACTAGGAAAGTAAACCATCAGTGATTGGCTACTTTTCAGGAGATCCCGCCTCTAGAGGCAGTACTGTTTTCATCCTGGCTGTAGCCTGTAATTTCAGCAAAGCATCTTCACTGTGGATGGTGCTAAAGATGAAAACAAAATGAGTTAAATATTCAATTTGACAAACCTTAAAGTCTGCCCCATTATCTTCAAAACCCAAGACAAGCAGGTGTCTTCCTTGCAGTCCCTCATATTCTCTGTTGCCACTACAGGCCTCTTTTGGAACCATAACAATGACAAAAACATTTTTTAAAAGCGGTATTCTGTGTTGATACACAGCAATGGATCATCCAGCCATCTTCTCCCACTTATTCCATCAGGATTGTGGTGGGATCGGTGCACTCTGTAGAGGTCTCTGGCATTCTGTTGCAGTCTATAGAAGAAATGCAGAGAACACCCTGGAGGAGGTCGTTCTGTCACAGGTAAACACAGAGACAATCAGAGGCCATGCAGCTTCCCAGCGGAGGGTTAGACCCAGCTGATGAGCTGCCTGGCCTCTGTGCCCCCACTGCTGGCTGTCTGATGAAGCCATCACACTGGGCTAGTGTTGATGATGTCACCAGTGTGACAGAAATCAGGAAAATGGAGAGCAACATGGATGGGAGCCAGGGTGTAGTAAGTGTGCTTTATTGTCCTATGTCCGTCCGTCTTACAGATGTCGCTCCTTGTTATCAAATGCATGTTAAGTTGTTTTGAATTTTTATATCTTACGCGACTGGCACAGTATTGTTACGTAGAGTTGTTGCGCTCACTGGTATTAGGTAAATTAGCGGGCCAACCCGGGTCGGTTGTTTCCACTGTATGGAGATCGGAACTGAGCAGTTTGATGGCAGTTTTAATCCCGGTTATTTGCCAAGTCCTTTCACCTGGGTTGACTCGTGTCAGTGAGCCATTCCCACCACCAATAAAAGAAATCAGTCTTTGGAGGGAATTTTGTTCTGTTCTGTACTTTACCCATCCATCTTTTTCGCTGGTGAGGCTGGTGCCTAGCAGTCTATGTGCAAAAAGCGGGGTACACCCTGGACAGGTCGACGGTCCATCGCAGGGCAACACAGAGACACACAACTTTGTACATACCTGCCAGAGATGCCAGTTAACCTAAACAGTCATTTTTTTGGATTGCTGGAGAAAACCACAAAAGAGACAGCGAAGTAAAAAAAACCCAGACATCCAAAGGGAAAACATGCCAACACCACGCAGAAAGACACTGGGAAGGGAATCAAACCCAAGATTAGCTGCAAGGCAACAGTTCTACAAATGGCACCACCATGTAGGCCATAAACATATCCTAATAAAAAAAAAAAAACTATTCCTCACCCATCACGAGTGGTCTCCTCTTTTTTCCTCCAAGCTCCTTTCCTCTACCAGAGGCCTGAGAGCTTGAGGATTCTGTCAGTACCTTTGCTGTTCCTAGAACTGAACTCTTCAGGACGGAGATATCTGATGTATTTCCAGGGATCTGCTGTAAACACTCCTCCAGTTTGGGGGTCACTGCCCCGAGGGCCCCAATGACCACGGGTACCACTGATGCCTTGACCTTCCAGGTTTTCTCCAGCTCTTCTCTGAGCCCCTGCTATTTCTCTAGTTTCTCATGTTATTTTTTCCTGATGTTGCAATCACTTGGTATTGCTATGTCAACCACAACGGCTTTTTGTCCACCACCATAATGTCCGGTTGGTTTGCCATTACCATTCGGTCCATCTGTTTCTGGAAGTCCCACAGGATCTTGGCTTGATCATTCTCTACCACCTTTGGAGGTGTTTCCAATTTTGACCTTGGGGTTTCCAGCCCATACTCTGCCCAGATGTTCCTGTATGCTATTCCAGCCACTATTCCAGCCGCTCCATGTAAGCTTTCCCTGCCAGCATCTTACACCCTGCAGTTATGTGCTGGATTGTCCTAGGGGTCTCTTTGCACAGTCTGCACCTGGGGTCTTGTCTGGTGTGGTAGAGACAGAGTCTCTGGCACCTCATCTTCTGTTCCCGATTTTCTGAGACATTCAGTGAGGATGTCGTCTGTTTGAGCCTTGTCCTTTATGTTGTTATAGATCTTGGATGTTTCATTCTGGATAGTGGCTCTTAGGCTCTATAGTCCTCGGCCTCCCTTCAGTTACGGCTGGTGTACAGTCTCAGGGTACTGGATTTGGGGTGGTACCCTCTGTGCATGTTTTGGAGCCTTCATGTCTTAACATCTGTGGCCTGTACCTCCTCCTTTGGCCAGCTTATTATTCCTGCAGGGTATCTGATTACTGGTAGAGAGTAGCTATTTTTTGCCCGAGACTTATTCTTGCCATTGAGCTGGCTCCTTAGGACCTGCCTTACTTGTTGGAGGTATTTGGCCGTAGTTGCTTTCCTTGTTAGGTTGCCATTTGCTTGTTGAATTCCAAAGTACATGGAATATATCTATATATATAGATATATAAAGCTTTACAAAGCGAATTTAAAAGAAAGATCATAAAAATGAAATGAAAGACATCCTAAAAAAAAGTTTCAGGATTACCACTTCTTTTTTTCCGGTTTTATTTCTCAAAT